AATCAAAACATATTGAATTATCAAATAAAAGTACAAATAATTCTAAATGAAACACAAAAATATACATCATTGATGCAAAATACATAGGATTTAAAGGATGAAAAGGTATCAGCAGCAGCAGCAGCAACAGCAGTAAATAGCAGCAGTAGGAAGGCAGCAGTTCCTGTCAAGCGCGTAGCGTTCGAGTTTTGTACCTCGAACCTTGCCCGTCATTACCAATGACATTTATATAAGGTCTGGGCCAACAGGCAGCTTGCTGATGTTAGAAGCAAAAATGTTGTCAACATTGCTGAACATCTGCGAACAGATAGAAATACGTCACTGCCAACAGCTGTTTCGTGTAAAAAGATAAACATTGCAATAAAATACGAACACCACTAAACATTTGCACATTTCACTAACACCAATAAGCCCTTTGGCCCAGACCTTATATAAACGTCATTGCGTTATTACCATCGAGATCACTAGCTGATGGCAGCGTCGTCGCATAGATAGTTCGCCGACGCATACTAACACCACTATATCAGGTAGGGGCAAATTTCCGCTATCTGAAGGTAGTGTTAGCATGCGTGGGTGAGCTATCAGGGCTGATATTTTCCCTGGAAGTGTCTTTCTATTTCTCATACTGATTATGCATTTCCTCAGAAGTGTTTCTAACTTTTCCTGTAAGTGTCTTAAAATTGTTCTAGCAAATTTCTTCCTATATTCCCAGAAAGTTTTTCAGGCTTATCTAAAATTTTTTTCTGACTCTCCGGGATTTCCCTTGCAAGTATTTTCCGACTTCTTCCGGGAATTTCATACAATTTTCCCTGGATGTATATGTAAATTTTCCAGGAAGTGTTTTCCGAGTTATTTCCTACTTTTTCTGATACATGGGTGCTGGGTACCCGGTTACCCCGTCATGTACATAACGGTTAAGGGCATAATTCTCGCGTTACTTTTTGATAGCTTCGGTTCTCTTTGGTATCTTCGGCCTGCTTACTTCTCTGAAAAGTTTCTTACAGTTCTCCCAGAAAGTTTTTTCCAACTTCTGCCAAAAGTGTCTTAACTGAAATTAATAATCCTCAAAATTTAAACAATCCTTTTCATGGAAAATATAATAATATTAACAACAAGCAATTTTTCGGGAATCGCGAAACATGATTCTTGGAAAATTGTGGGTAGAAAACACTAGGTTGCATGTTGAATTTTATCATCCATCCACCTTTAAAATTTGGACCCTAGAGACCCGTCCAGTAGTGCCATTTCTTAGTAGGTATGTAAAAGCGAAACAAACAAAAAATGATCTCATAAAACGCAACCCAAGCCGTGAATCTTCTTTTCCCGGGGGTGAGTCGTTATTTTTCGTTAGCTTCTTTATTCTTCATGCTTTACGCCCAGCTGTCAAGTTTCGGCCGTAAAATCATTGTTCAATCATCGTCTTCTGCCACCGGGGAGGCTTTTTCTCCTCCTACATTGCCTTGTGGGTAAAAAAGTACAATATTTTGGTTCATTTACTGATGTTTCAATGTTGTATATGATGTTATTTTTTTTGTTGATGTGCTGGTCCAAGTGACGAGAGCTGCACCAGTGCACGTTAAAAGTTGTCATCAACCGTTTGTCAGAAGTTAGTATCGTTTGAGGAAATCACGGTTATGGCGGGTCGTAAAGCACAGAATTCTAAACAGGAGCGAGAAGGAATTTTAGAAGAAATAAGGCGGGATAACAACTCACCAGATTACAATTTACGCGACGATAGACACTTTATTGTGGCAAGTCTATTAGGCGGTTGCTGCAGACGAGCACTTTACCGCCCATCACTGGTACGGGGAAGTTGCATGGGTCTATAAAAAATGGCCATGATAATTTTTAGCACGGGCTTTAAACGATTAAAATTTTGTTTATGAAAGGTTGTAAACCCAAAATGGGAGATTTATACACGGATTGCATGAAATAGTTTAAATTCATATATTTAGTAAATAGTGGCACACAACTCTCATTATATAAATTATTGCTTATGGACATAATTGATTGAACCTACAAATGGCCGCTATCATGGCTATTATACAAAACAAATCAGCCATGACAACGGTTATTTGTGGATTCTATCAACCTTGTCCTTACGGTTAGGTAGTTGGTAGTCAATGTCAATGTAATTTTGGCACTTTACGATCATTTGACGCTTGTTTGCTTTTGTTCATTTCAGAACTGTTTTTGGGCCTTTGGGAAACCCTTAATAGTCCTTCAGACGATGCATGGAAACTCATCACGGCTTTCGGCACCATAAATGTTTGCGACACGCTTTAATTTTCTAATCAGGGTTACACCTTCACCTTTGTAATCGATTTCTTCACGCATGAAGCAACTAAAATCGGATTAGGGATCTTCCTATAATTAATATATTTATATAATAATTAAAAATTTGAAAAACTATTGTGTGGCAAGTACAAGCACAAGCACAATTCCTGGTAATTCTTTTAACACGAAAGATTTTTACTGGGTATTGACCCACTGCGTCCGGATTTGTAATACCATACCGCAACTGACTTGGCTATATGAGTTCGCAGATTTTATCCAGTGAAACATAAATCTTGCAGTCTGGTGCTATATTTCAAAGAAATAATCATCCCTGATTTCTGCCAGTTATCCTACGTACCTGCATATGCAAAGCTTTCCTTCAAGTTATAAAAGGTGCATGAGTGCCAAACCACAATTGATTGGCAGATCCATTTAAAATCAACCCCTCTGCCCCTGATCGCCATCTCACATTCTGCGACACAAAAAACGAGAGAACAGAAATGGAGCCATTTTTCATAAGTGTACATTCCTTTTTCAATTTTCCTATTGAAGTTGATGTAAAGCTTCTCGGAACGTTTTTCTTTTTTTTCAACAGAAAATAATACATTCGACGCCACAACCAGCACCGTACTCAGCAGGTGGCGAAGGTGGCATTTGCCACCTTTCAATTCCTAAGGGGCGGAAAAACTGCTTGGTTGCTACAAAACAAAAAAAAAAAAAGATATTTTTTTTTTTCTTATCGGCGAGGTTGACAATAAATTCTGGGATCCATGACCGATTTTGATCGGTAATGTTGATAATACAGGAATGATCTAATTTGCTTGTTGAACTACCATTGAGAAAACGGGAATGATATAGAGTGTGTGCATAAGATACATGCCAAGTGAAAATCAGTCGAACTCACATCACGGTTTTCACTAGATTCCTTATCTTTTCATTTGGCAACAGAGGACTGCTGCATCAACGAGAAAGAAATTTAGCGGCTGTAGTAAATCATTTCTTCAATATTTTAATCGACTTTGGGTGGAGAACGACTTCGGCGTTCTGCACCCTATCTTACTAAACAATCCAGTATTTCGAGGTCGACAATGGTTGCCAAGTGAGATCCAGTGAGTGTATGATCAACACAACCCTAGGGCAACTTGACAAGTCCAGCACATTTCCAGTGTACCCCGAAAATTTGATGCTGGTGGTCAGCGTTGCCAGGTCATTTTCAGAAAAATCTGGACTTGTTAAAACATAAAATCAGGAAAAATCTGGAAGGATCCAAAAAATCATCTTTTTAACATAATGCTATTGAAATCAAAGTGATGTGCCAATCTCCCGTAAAAATCGGTCAGTATGATAGTCTGGAGTTTATTCAAAGTACCAATATGTTTATTAATGATATGTTTAAATACATTATATAAAACAAATAACTTGTTAGTGTTGTTTAAATCATCCAAAAGTTAAGACACAGTGTGCCAAAAAAGTTTAAATATCCATTACTCAGCATTTCAAAAATTGAGTTTAATCGTTGGTGAAATACTGCAGAAAATATTTTTTAGAATTGCTTTTTAAACTGCATTTTTTTTTTCAAATAATGAGAAGGAAATAATCATGCAACTTTCATGGGATGGATTTTTTAAACTGATAGTCGATGTAGTCCTTACTTTTTTATGCAGTACCATAATATGTCTTAAAGATTTTAATAGTTCTAAATAGTTCTAATATTACTCTAAGGTTGATCAAACTTTCAATGTAATTCTTGACATCATAGTAGGCAGTAGGCAATTTTATTTTAAAGAAAAATTCACCAGGCTGAAGTGGGAATCAAAGCCTAACATCGTGGTACTCACACACAGTTTAGCTAAACTACAGGTAACTCAACAATTTACATTACCATTACGAATAATTTTATGATATAACTAAAATGAAATTCTAAAGCGAAATTTATATATTTCCTGGTTCATGAAATTTGTTGTTAGTCTGCATTTAGAACTCTATACAGGATATCTTTGTCTTTTTTTCAGAGTTCCATTTGAATCATCTTAGAATTCCATCATACTTATTTTCTGGATTCCCCTAAAATAATCTTGATAATATCCAAACACAAATTCCAAGAATTTGCATAATTTTGTTTTCATATTTCTCTATAGAATTCCCTTAGAATATTCTTAATAATTTCCATGACACACTCTTCAGAATGACCGTCACACTAATCTCAGACTTATCCGATAATTCTCTTTGAGCTGCTTTGTAGATAAGGTCAGAATTGTTTTGAAATCTTCTTCAGTATGTGGTGAGTACTCAAATACTTTGCCAAAATGGCATTGAAAGTCCCCCAGAAATTGTCAGACGTTCTTTTGGCATAATTCCGAATAGATTTCTTAAAATTTTATTAAAATGTATCTCCATAGAAACATTGCACAGAATTCCATTGAAATTATTCTTTCATTCTTCACAAAATCTCCATGCACTGTCATCAGTGTTTTTAAAAGACAACTGAAACTGTTTTCAACCAGTGCGTGGGTCGTAGATCTGTGCGATATACGAAAGGACGTTTCGTCTGGTGAGCACGGTATCAGGAATTGGAAGCTGGATTCGGAATCGCAGTGTATCGGACTTCGGTTCCCAGATCAGCCCGAGGGTGGTCACCGACTGTTCATCAGTGAACGGTTGGATTGCTAGTTCGTCCGAAGGAATTTCGGCCAGGACGGTTGAGCTATTGGAGGCCCATTTCCTCAATGGAAAACCGGCGGAATGTAGCATTTCACTGAGCTGGCGACGAAGTTCGATGGCTTCTTCTGGAGTTTCGTCACCGTTGATGAGGTCGTCGACGTAAAAGTCTTCGCCTTCGGGAAATTCTCACCTTCATCGTTGGCGAGTTGGACTAGAGTTCGAGTGACGAGGAATGGTGCAAAGGATGCACCATATGTAACGATCTGAAGCTCAAACGTGGAGATTGGATCTGTTGGTCTTTTTTGAAGGTAATTCGGATGAGCGATCGGTCGATGTGTACAACTCCAATCTGCCGGTTCCACTTCTCCACATCCGCCAAGACTCCAACAGGTTTCGTACGGAATCGCATTTCGATGGACTGGAGATCCTCTTGCACGACTGGGCCAACGAGGAGAATGTCATTCAAGGAATTGCCGGATGATGTGCGGCAGGAGGCATCGAATACAACCCGTACCTTTGTCGTAGTGCTGCTGGCCTTAAACACAGGGTGATGTGGCAAGTAGTAGTGCTTCAGGGAATCATCTACCGGATCTTCTAGACGTCGCATGTGGCCAAGTCGTAGGTACTCGTCCATAAACTCGTGGTAGGCTACCTCGACAGCTTCGTCCCGCTCAAGCCTGCGTTCCAAACTTCGCAGACGTCTTTCGGCGATGGCACGGGATTCACCGAGTGTAATATGGGGATTCTGAGATTTTGGAAGAGCGACTACACACCTCCCGTCTGCGTTTCTGGTCGTAGTAGCTTGGTACAGCTCATCACAAGCGACTTCGTCTGCCGAGTAAATTCAACCGGTATTGATGGACTCAATCTCCCAGAACTTCCCCATCAGTGTTTCCAGGTTGTGGGTTGTACCGCAACTTACCGTGGAGGAGTAGCGGTACAACAGTGTAGAGGAACCCGTGCAGTATTGTTATACCAACGACCCGACACTGCCCAACCAAAGATTGTTTCGATTAGTGTTAGTGAGCCACGGTTGAGGTGGATCCTACCACTCATCAGGTATTCATGTAATTGGTCAGCTCCCAATATCATGTCCATGCTACTAGAAATGTTGAAGTTAGGATCAGCAAGCTCGACTGACTTGGGAATGCACCAATCCGAAATGTTTACGTCTCTGCCTGGAAGTTTGGTGGTTAGGTTTGGAAGCACTAGCTGTGACACCGTGGTCGTCGACTCCCCAACACCACTGGTAAGGATATTGGCTCGTTCTGGTTTCAGACTCAGACGACGAGCCAGCTTCTTGGATATTAAGTTGGATTGGGATCCGGAATCGATGAGTGCTCGAGCGGCATGCTCGTTTCCATATTCATCGAGGACTGTCAGAACGAACATGAGCTGGCATAGTCACTTCGGTGACTGGATGCGCTGATACACTTGATTCCACGGACCTTACCGTGGAGGAGGAAACTGGTTGCTCAACGACTGGAGTGCCACTGCCTTTCTGTGGGAATGGTGATGCTTGAGGTTGGTGGAGCAGCGTGTGGTGTCTTTCGTGGCAGAGGCGACACGAAAACCTTGAGTCGCAGTTCCGAGCGACATTGGATGACTTGAAGCAGTTCCAGCAAAGACGTTTCTGGGCAATGAGTTCCCTCCGTTGACCAACGGAGAGCCTTTGAAAAGTTGGACACTGAACCAACAGATGTTTTTCGGAGCAGGAGATGCACGATAGGGGATTGGATCGTGGGCTAGCAACCGCGGTATTGGCAACCGACCTCGATTGCTGTGGTTTCTTGAATGGGCTGACACTGGCCACCTTGACCGATGTGTAACGATGCTCCATCTCTGATGAGACCGTTTGGAGAATCCTGATTCGTTGGTACAGGAAATCGACGCATAAGGCGTACGTAACTTGGTCCAATTTTGAGGAATGTTCTTCCCAGGCACGAAAAGTAGAAGAGTTCAACTTGTAAGAAAGCATACATACTAATGGAGTGTCCCAGGTGTCGACTGCTTCCCCCATTTTTGCCAATGCCTTGAAAGCCATCCACTAGCGTGTGGAGACCTTCCGGAGATTCCTTGCGAATGGGGGCCAGGTCGTACAAGGCCCGGAACAACTGCTTTCTGAGGAACCGCTGGTCATTGTAGCGTTTGAGAAGGGCTTCCCAAGTTGGTCCATAATTACCTGCACCATCTCATATGGTTTCTTTGCATCTTTCTCCAAGGACTGCAACAGGAATTGTAGCTTCGCCACCGGTGGGATTTCTGGAACATCGTGGACCATGGATTTGAACGTGTCTCAGAATCTAAGCTACCGAGAGTAGTCTCCGTCAAACTTTGCCAAGTCGATTTTGGGGAGGCGCAGATGGAAGCTGGCTGACGTTGATGGGGCAGTGATGGTCTCATTGACAAGAGCCGGTTCGGCCACAATTTGGCTCATCAGCCAACCTTTTATAGCACAGTACCGCGATTCTACCTCATTGCGCTCTTGGAAGTGCCTTGCTAACGGCGCATCACCACTATCCAAACGCTCGAGATCAGCTTGTACCCTGATGAAGTCTTGGTACAGCTGATTCAGCATTTCGAGGCGTACAGGCACTTGCAGAATATCGCGCTCCTCATCATAATTCCGACGAAGTTTTCCATTGCCTCGAACGACGACATCAACGAGTTTCGGTCCTTAAGCTTCTTCCTGGTGGCCATGCTTCCGGCGATGTCGTTATCCGAACGACTTTCCTAACGGGTTAAACGATTCGCACACGCGACGACACGACTTCCCGATTCGATTACGATTACGCACGTTAGAGATGAACGGTTTGACAGTTCGATAGATAGATGTCTCGACCAACAACTGAAAAGGGCCTACCAGATTTTGGAAACAAAAATGTTCAACTCCTCTCCTCGCAAAACGAAGGCCACTTACGCAAATCAATGGCATCATCGTGTAGGAAAAAGTTTATCCTACCTGATGATGCTGTTGGTTTGCGTAAGCGGCCTATTCCTTGCGAGAAAAAAGGCTGTCAAAGTTTTGATTACAAAAGCTGATAGGCCTATTTCAATTGTTGGTCGAGATTTGGTCTCACTCTTGGAGTCAATACACGGTAACCGCAAAATAAACAATAATGACTACAAAGTAAGCATTTTCGAGGGAGACTGGGACTACCCATTAAATGAGTAAACATACTACCGATTTATGAGTATTTGTTACTCAAAAATGAATACTTACTACTTATTTTTGTAGTTTTAATTACTCATAAATGGGTAAAATTTTACTCATTTAATGGGTAGTCCCAGTTTCTCTCGAAAATACTTACTTTGTAGTCATTATTGGGTATTTTGCGGTTACCGTGTACACAAACTTTAAAACAGTATGGTAATCATATACCTATGATAGTGAAATTTTTTAGCGATATCTCTTTCTCTTTTCCTTATGAAATGTTAAAATCTGAGTGATGCGGAGACGGGCCTTAAACTAAAAACCACTTTCGACTTGTCAAATCAAACCACTTTTTTTTACTCTCATGGAAACAACAAATGAATAGAAGTATTGCAGGCAAGAATTAATAAAATTATTCAAGTGCCCAACTAAGAAGAGTATTGTCATGTCCAGGTAAACATTACAGAGCAAACTGGGAATGAGAGTTCGCCACCTAAAAACATGTCCTGGGTACGGATCTGGCTAAAACCAACGCTTTGGATTGAAATATGGTTTTGGCTGCTGTTGCACCTTTTACACACGTGTTTCCTGAGGGAGCGAACGGGAGTAAAAGTGTGTACCGAAGAAGCTTTATTTGAAAGGAATTTTTTCTCCTCACTCACAAATATTTAAAAGCATCCCCTCTTCTTAGGTTGCTGGCTGGCTTCGAACAGACAAGGGTGGCAAAGTGTTTGCTCAGGGTAAGGCGATCATGGGAGATTGAAAGGGTTTATTCTTCTTCGGCCTGCCCACACTTGCACGCTCAGATCGGATGGCCTAACGGCACTTAAGTTTGGCATGTTTTAGCTTTTATGATGCTCGGTGACGCTTTCTTTTTTTTTGTTCTCGTGTATCCTTTTATATGTGTACTGTACCTTCTTCGGCGAGTTTCCCTGAATCGATTGATGCCATAAAGCTAACAGCTGTGGGAAGACTGAAAACTGGTAAGATGAATTTCACCCGGGGTGAACAAAGAAATGGGCTAGGTGTAGAGGTGATTGGATGGGCGAAGGAAAATAATAAAATTTTAAACGCAACCAAAAACGATCGAACAATGTGGGGAAATTGAATTCTTGTGCCAGCGCGCGTACCTTGCCTTCCGGTAATGGCATGACCAAGAATTGCCGGAATTTTTTGGGTTTTGACTGAACGACGAAATTGAATGGCGATTGCTTGAGAAAGACCTTTGGGAGTTATAAAATAATGGCCAAGGTGTACGAGACGGGTAATTTATCATTGATTGCGTTCCATTCTTTGCCGCTGCTGGTCCGATAGAAATAGGTTTTATCGTTCAACGAAAGCAACGATGAAAAGTCGATTTCCGTTAGTCATTTTGGCAGTAGGCGTTGGATACCATAACTTTACAAAAGAAACCATAGAATAACCATTCCTTTCCGAGAAAGTTCCAGCTGAACGGTAATAGTCAGTAATGATTCGGTATAAATTGGGCTTTACGGTTCTCCTTATACAAATACGCTATGTTTGACAGTTACCTACCTAATACTGGTTTAATCTTTCTGGCGTTGCTCGGGAAAATGTGATGCATTAATATACTTTCTTAAATCTCACCAGTGGCCAGGGTTGCTTCTACTCACTTGCTATACAAAGATTTTTTTAGGAATTATGAATTATGAAAATAGTATAATGCTAATTAGTATTTGTTAGTGAGTGAACGCTCACGAATCTTAAGATCGCTGATTGTGACGCTCTGAAAGCAAAATTGACAGGTTTTATGAGTCAAACACATACTTTACACCCTCTTCCTGTTACTTAAAAGTAGAACATACCATTATAACATCTAATGATTGCATAATTCCGAAAAATATTTTTTATAGCAAGTGAGTAGAAGCAACCCTGCCAGTGGCTTAGCGTGACTGGGTAACACTCAGGGTGGGTTGTGCGGATGTCACCCCAACAAACAATTTGAGCTGATTAAAGGCTGAGTGGGCATTTTTTTTAGCTAAAGAAGCATATTTGTGCCTGAATAAGGACTAATTCAGCTTCTAATGTTTTTTTGGCGTAGGACTACGTCTTTGTTTTCTATATGGTGGAACACTTTCCCTAGCAACACACTTGTCACTGAACAGTTGTGGTTACTTGTATGCAGGGATGAAAAATCATTTACATTCATTTCGTGCATTCATTTACATTCATTTGCCTCTAACTTTTTTCATCAACAGAATTCAGTAAAATAGTGTATGCAGCTGTTGTAGGTTTTGATATTAACTACATCTTTTGTAAACAACTCAAATCTGTATCTCTTATGCATGATGAATCAGAGCGATAAGAACCCACCAGTGTTTTTCAGTGAATGTTAATTGCATTCACTGAAAAACAATAACATGTTCTGCCAGCTCTGCTGCATAATGCATAAGAGATTTAGATTTTAGTTATGAACAAAAGTTGTAGTTAATATCAAAAGATACAAAAGCTTCAAACATCATTTAACGATATTCTGTTGCTGAAAAAAGTTAGAGGCAAATGAATGTAAATGAATGCACGCAATAAATGTAAATGATTTTCCATCCTTGCTTGTATGTAACTTATTTTATTTACATTAAAGTTGCAGAAACTTATGAAGCGAGTACGAAAAATGGCAAATTTCTTCAAATCACTAATGTGAAATATGCCATTCGACTAGGGCTTCATTTAGCAATTTTGAGGCATATTGTACAAACAATGAAAAAAGTTAAGAAGCTAAGAAATTTAACTTAAATTGGCAATATCAAAATTCCCCATACATATGCATAATTGCATTCCATTGTCTTTCCTAACACAGCCATCATAAAGTGTTCATACCTGAACAGGAGAAAATAACTAATGAATACCTAATTCTGACCTGATACCAAAATTTTGTATTGACCAGCATAACATAAGAGGTAAAATACCAAATAATAATACTAAAAAATTACATCCAAAATACTCTATAAATAGTCAAAAATGATATTTGGTTCCCCACAAGCAGCTTGCTACCATGGCTGCCTGCAAGAGCGCTCTAGCCAGAGAAAAGTAGTGAAGATGCCACACCGTCACCACTGTGGGTCATCTTCATCAAGCGCGTCATCGTCAGGCCGAAGAACATCAAAGTAGCTCACCGTATCTGTGGTGAAAGTGCTTACAGATCTCAGAATTCCGCAACCCTGACAAAATGCATCAAACTCGCCGCTGCTAGAAGAATACGAACCGGTGATAAGTGGCGTCACGATATAGTGCGTGTTGTTCATCGTAAAGTGAAGATCTGTCGAATATCAAGGCTACACTTTTGCCTAGGGCAAACAGCCGGGTAATTTGCTTGCCGCTCGACAGATGACCATGTGCATCAAACAAAAACCGTGCTTTTCAGGGCAACAAAAATAATTCCCCTTAAACCAACCACATCACCAAAACGGTCCTTTTGACGGCCACAAACCATCGAAACGGCCCAAAGAGTTAGTTTGGAATATTGTCTAATACAAGAATAATTACACTTGAACTGAAAAAGCATATTATCAGTAATAAACGGAAATTGGACACTGATCAATTATCACACTTCGAAAGAAATCAAAGGATATCATAATAATATCGGGAATTTTAAATAATGTTCGATCAAAATAGTTAACATGTGTGAACAACCCCATTGGGCTGTCCTTGAAGTTTTTTTTTATTAA